CGTTCAAAGCTCCATTCTCTATACCTTATAAGTTACCTTGAAAACGGAATTTACCAGAACAAGTTAAAATCCCAGGGAGCTAGATTGGTATCATATTGATAATATTTTTTCATTATCTACCAATAAAAAAGCGGTATTAAAAAACAACGGTCTGTCGTAATCCTGATACTAATGGCTGATAAAAGCATGTGATTTTTTTTAATTTAAAGCATTCTATAAGTCACTGCTTGCATGTCGGCTTTCTGCACACATTTGTCTGCATAATTGGGTCAGTTCACTACTGTACTCGAATCCATCCTACCCGACCTCTTCTAGTTCATAGTGAAACTGACCCTACTGCTCCGGACGAGGTTCTCCTAGATTTGAAGGGACGCAATGGCAACAAAGCTGATGGTCCTGATTGGTTTATCCCCTTCCGGTTCTGAGCAGCTTTATCCACTTATCGCAGAACCTGTATTTGCCATCCGGAGCGATCATCTACAGGTTTGCCCAGATAGGACCAATCTCTCGGAAATGCTCGGCAAGCTTTGGAAAATGTTTGGATAAACCAAATATTACACTTGTGTAACTCGTAAAGTTCTCTCCTGTCAGTCTCAGGGCTCATAAAATTAGCCTTTCTCCCAAAGCTGGTACTGTAATTGTAACTGCCTGCTTTCTTTTAAAAAGGTTTTGCATCCATGCCCTACGGAAATTCACAGAGAAGAGATTGCGTTAATAAATGTGCTCCATCCCCTGAGGAGATTCATTTATTCGCAACGGAATCATCAAGCTCCCAGGAGTGTAGGTAACCGAAATAGCATTTATGCAGAGTGATAGTGATAGTAGTAGTAGTAGTAGTAGTAGCCATGGAGAAAAGAGTTAAAATGAAAATCTTATAATGAAACAAAAGGGGTTCAGTAATTCAGTGTAATAAGAGGTTCCCTTACTACGTTTGGTTCTTCAAATTCCTGACAATGGATATCCTTCAGGTTGAAATGACTAAATAAACATAGCCNCTCACATCTACCATCCGCTCGCATTGCTAGTCGCAACTATAACAGCCACGATCGCGAAAATGAGAACAGGAAAAACAAAAGTAATAATAATATTAATAATAGTCGTAGCAATAACAACAGCAACAGTGACAAGAGAAGGTGTTCAGTGTTACTCAGCACCTTCAACACATAGCATATCTGGTTGCAAGATCTTCTTACTTGTGGAGGATGGGGATGGGATGGGTACGGGGACCGACCGGGGAGCGGGGGTTGTTTGTGCGCTTCAGTATCTAATTCCACCAAATCACATGCCACAAGGTAGATTGATGGTTAATCCGTGCGGAGATGAATACACTGTCAAGTCATCGGGGTCTGAGGGACTGTGAACGGGTTAGATTAGATTTCAAAACTACCTGCGTACATTTGCGACTGTTGGTTGCATTTTTGTTACCCTTGTGTGAGTGGTGAAATACCGGAGGGAGAGGGTAGTGGTCGCGATGCCGGCGGTAATGGTAGTGGTGATGTTGGCGGTGGTTGTAGTAATAACTTGAGTCTTGTAATCTCGAGAGCTGTTTCTGACGTACAAATCAAGTAAGGGGAGAAATATATCAAGTGAGTGGTGTGCAGCGGATGGAAGTAAGGGTGAAAGGACTTCAAGTGTGTTACACACCATGTGAGATAATGCGGTTGCGTAATCAAAAGAAAGTAGGGTACAAGGTGAGAGACAGAGAGAGAGAGAGAGACGGAGAGAACGGGTGGGCGAAAGAAAGAAGCGAGTAGTCATGCTAGTTTAGAGGGGATGGCTAGTCTGTGTGTTTGTGTGTGTTGACGTTGTCCGCTTACAGAGGCTCATATACTACCATGGAACTGCGGACGTGGCAAGACAATGCCCACTTTGCCACTGATGATACGATTCAATTCTGGGGAATGCGGGTAGGCAGGATCGAGGAAGCCAAGCATGAATTAGTGCATCGTTGGTATGAAAAGCCTGCTCTCACACACACATGGTAACGTCGGAACGCAAAAATAAAAGAAAATCAATTCCTCGTTGATAATAGAGTCGCGTTGAAATGATTATCGACAAGCGACTAAGCCTAAAAATAGTGAATGATAATCACATTTGGAGCAAGAGATATTAATGTGCGAGAAAGGGACAGTAAAGACACCCACACGCACACGCGTAAAAACTTTTCACGCGTGGTTTCATTCACCGATAGATAGTTAGGTAGACAAGTGAGTATGTACGGGTAAGGTTTGCTTCGTGAAACGGGAACCGACCCAATGAGAATTCCGCAATACATTGTTTTTTGCACACATACCGCATTCGGTTAGTTGTATTGTGAACCGTTTACTCATGGGAGATCTAAAAACGCCAAATCACAAGGAGCGGGGAATTTTGTTCCAAATGCACGGGGCAGGGGAGGGGGCGGACGAGGGTTTATTCATGCTGGTCCAGCCAACATTAGCCAGTGTGCGGTTCTAACTCTTTCTCCTTCTTACTCTGGTTTGCTCTGTGCATTATTGTGTGTGTGTGTGTGTGTGTGTGTGTGTGTGTGTGCTGTCGACCGAAATGCGGTGCAGATGACTAAAATCTGGACAGCGGGTGCAGAGAGGAAGGGAACCGAATCCAAAATTAACCTATCTATCATTCATTTTAGCTACATATGTGTGTATGCAGAGTTGCAGTTTGTGTCACCGTCACACGTGCACTTTCATACGGTGATTTGGGTTGCTGATGTAGTGCGTGTGTGAATGCGTGTATGTATGTGGGTGCATGGAGATGTGAGTCGGTATTCCTGTGGTTATCAACAGAGGCGCATTCGTCCTTCANCCTTCACATGAACAGTCAGTCAGTCGATAATATTTATCTCATAAGAAATGTGCGTACACTCATCCACGCAAACGCACAAGTGAATCCATTCGTACGTGGAAAATGGTTAACATTCCACCGATAAACGGCAATGTATTTATATATTCATACATGTATATATCTATATGGAGGTTGAGCAGAACGGAAGGAAAGCATTTTGTTGCAAAGTGACTGTCAACTCAATCATTCAACCAGCCACCATACTACATTCAAGGGCAATAGCATCACCACCATCATTGATTTCTTGGGTGATTTTGTTCAGCTTGGACTACTCCGATCGAACGCGCTAATGCTTGTTTGTTTCTGGGGCTGGGTGTGTTGGCGGGCGTAGGAAAATATCAATGATACACTCTTACTGAGCTCATCCGTAACGCGTTGTATAGGGGCAACGACGAAAACGACGTGGGGGTGCTGGTGGCGGTGATAGCTGAGGAGGTGAGAGACGAGGCGGAGGGACCGGGCAGAATAGCANGAAAGTTGTCCAGTGAGCAGGATACATCCATCTACAGGTATGAGTGACGGACTTGGTCAAACAATGTTAGTCTTCGCGTGCGTAAACCGCGAATAGGATTCGAACTGCGTCCGAGAGGGATCATTAGTGCATGTGCGTTTGCGTGTGTGAGTGCGAGAGAAAGAGTACATGTGTAGTAAAGAGAATTACGAGTTTCAACGTTGTAGGCATGCCACTTTCTCAAATGGATGTATGTTAGTAGATCTGCCTCAAAAAAGGAGACAACCATGTTCGAAGTTTTCTTCAGACTTCCTCATATACAATGCATGAGGGAAATTATGTACTACAGTCAAATAACACCCAATGAGGAAGCGGGGAAACCAGTTAAATGGGAAGCTGTGGGCGCGTTTACAATTGTGTTTGCATATTAGTTTTAACTGGTGGAAGAGTTCCTTTGTGATTACGTGTTTCTGGTGGTGCTCATGGTCCCCGATAGCAAGTTCAGCTAGTTGTGTATGTGGGTAGTGGTAAAACGAGTGAGTGAAACAAAGGATGAGTGACTGAGTGAACAAATGTGTGCAGGCTTGAAAGAGAGCGCGGGAGAGAGAGGAAGCAGAGATATACGAATGAGCGTTACGCTTCTTGCTGTTGTTGTGGTGATGATGATTGTTGCTGTGGTTATTGTTATTATTGTTCGAGTGATAGACCGGCTCATTTCGGAAGTGCTCCATACTAAAATGCACGCAGGCGTATCCGTCCTCTCCTCAGCCACAGCCACGTACAGTATTACGTGCCGATAAGTAAATTGGACAAAAAACTATCATGATCATGTGAACTGTGGTGGTGGCAGTAGTTGTTGTTGGCATTGTTGTATTCATAGTAGTAGTTGCATTCGCACGGGGATTGAGGGTGAAATGGAAATGATTAAAGGGCCACTGGTTTTGGTGAGGGTAATGGTGACCGTACAGAGTGAGCTGTGAGACCATAAGCCCGGGTGGCAACACACGGAAGAAGGAAGGGATGTCGGTGAAAATCGATTCAATTCAAAATCTATTCGATCGTGGTCCTTGTTTGATCAAAAGCTCGGAGGGTATAGATGTGAACGGAATCGATGTCTCTCTTCAAGAGCAAACCAGTGCATATACATACGAGCATATACACATACACACAGAGCAGCGAACTCTCAAGGAGATACTGACTGATCGGTGTGCTCTATCGGGATGGGGCAAGTATCAGGCAATTGTCAGATGTGAATATCAGAGAGAGTGATAGAGACGAGAAAGTGGCGAGAAAATCTGTTCAAAGAACAACACAGAAAATGAGAAAGCAGTAACATGATCAAACTAGATTCTAAACGTGAATGAGTCGTGCCGCGCACTACAGATGTATATTCATATGGCTGTAGGTAAATCCAATGGTGAGTATATATATGCATATTCATATTCGAATAGAATAGATACTATTTGAATAGACACTAGACGTTCACTTTTGATCGTGGTGAAAGGGCAAGATCAGTTTGAGGCGTTTAGGGTTGTTTCAAACTTGGATTCACTTGCGGTGAAGGTTGGAGGGATCGTTTTGGGTGGTGAGACTTGGATATGGAAAAGGAAGGAGAGAAGATTGTGTGAATCAAGCTGGTGTTTTAGTCTTTATGTTGATCTGTTCTGTGTGCGCTAGTGCATTTTGTTGTGCTTGGTACAGGAGCTCAAGTAAATGGGTGCGAACGATGCGACGGTCGTGGACTGTGAGGATACATGGGGCGCTCTTGACTGAAGCTACGCATTGCAGAGCGCTGTTTCATGTTACCAGACGCTGTCGCTCGAGAGCTGGAGGCAGTAGCAGCCATGCGTTGCCCCCCAGCAGATAAACTGGACCGGGTGCCACTATCTGTTGAACTGGTTGTTGGGATGTCTTGAAATCGTGGATGCCGCACGCGTCGTAGATCCATCGTTTCCAGATTCAGTACATCACCTTGGGAGTTTGCTTTGCGCTGTGGTCGTGGTCGGAATGCAGCTGGACCGGGTAGTCTGTCATACTGGGACATTTGAATGGAGTCTGGTCCGGAGTAGGTTTCTGGAACTGGGACAAAACGGGGACCAGATCCCTCTAAGGCAGTCGTATTGTACTTGAGACGACCGGAACGTCCGATATAGTCTAAACAACAATTTAGGAAAATTATTGCATAAACAAGTGGCTAACTTCGAAGGGCAGGAGGAATACAGTCCATTGAAATCAGACAACCTTCGACCGGGTACTTTTAAATCTATTAGGAAATGGCTTGTATGCAATGAAAACCAAAATTGAATGCAAATTTAAGTCAATCCGGGCGATTTTTTTCACTGGTGATTCAGTCCAGTAAGTGCTCAGACCATTCAGCGGATCAACACTACCAAAACATGCGTGAATCACTACATTTTATTCTATACCAGGTTTACACATACAAACCATATCCATTGCAGGATAACTGTGACTTGACAATTACCAAAAGATATAAACCACTTTCATTGGTCAAGTGGCTGGACCCGCTTTCAGTCATTTTGCTTCCAACTATTCTTACTAAATACTGTGGTATGTCATGGGAAAATAAAATAAAATAAAAACACACATTACTATCAACCATTTAATCGTGAGACCGGAAATCGGGTTCACCACGATCACATGTTTGTTTGTTCACTCATTCGATCATCGAGATTACTCACGATGCGGTTTGTATGGGGGTGGGTGGGCCAAGGAAGCTTTAGCGCTTGCACAAATTGTTTTTGGGCACACAGAGGGGGGTTGTACAGACGAATGCCTACCGCTTCTGCCGTAGCCAACATCCGACAGCGAACCTGCCTCGATAATCGCCCACGAACTTTGTACGGGGATCGGAAAGCCTCGCACACGTTCACGGTGTGATTTGTTTCAGCTAGGTGTGAAACCACTGCACCGGTGAGTGACTTAATCGTTCCGGGGTTCAGCCACGCGGGGCGGTGTTCACGAATCCGTTCGGACAATCGCCTGACCGTGTGGCCTATGTACGATTGAATACCTGTGCAGTCATTTACAAACCAATAATGTAGAGCTCGCCCCCCCCCTTGGATGACCTTAAACAACTGCTTTATTTCTGCACGTATAATGTTCAGTTCAAGTTTAACGATGAGATCTATCGGCAAAAAAACAGTGTACTATACACACGGTACGTAGATGACATTTATTGTGTGATCGGTGCAACATCGAATACATGGAAACTATTAAACGGGTTCAACAATACACATCCCAAAATAACATTTACTTTAAAAATGGAGTGTAACAACAAATTGCCGTTTCTAGATGTCTGCATCACCTGTCAATCAGATGGTTCGGTGCAGCATTTCGTGCATAGAAAGGCAACGCGGGAAGACCAATACATTCATTTCCGAAGCTTTGTGCCGCTGAAGATAAAAAGGAACCTGATTCGTTGCCCAGCGAATAGGGTAGGAAAGATCTGCAGTGAGGACACGCTAGGAGAAGAGCTCCGTACTGTAAAATCGATTTTTGCACGTAACGGATATCCGGAGCCTTTGGTCAACAAGATGATTCAGTTCACGGAAAACTCTTTACAAAACATCGTGTTTGAGAAAAAATGCGTGTACATTTCTTTACCATTCAAAGGGGACACATTAGCCGAGATTATACAAAGAAGATTATCTGACGCAATCGATCAGACTTTCTATGCATCTAAACTTCGTGTGTTGTTCACGTCCAAGCCAATTGTGTGTTTGCGACTGAAGGACAAAGATCCAGACTCTGCGGTCTCATTCTGTGTATACTCATTTACTTGTTCCTGTAGAACAACTTACATAGGCCGCACGGTCAGGCGATTGTCCGAACGGATTCGTGAACACCGCCCCGCGTGGCTGAACCCCGGAACGATTAAGTCACTCACCGGTGCAGTGGTTTCACACCTAGCTGAAACAAATCACACCGTGAACGTGTGCGAGGCTTTCCGACCCCTGTACCAAGTTCGTGGGCGATTATCGAGGCAGGTTCGCTGTCGGATGTTGGCTACGGGCAGAAGCGGTAGGCATTCGTCTGCACAACCCCCCTCTGTGTGCCCAAAAACAATTTGTGCAAGCGCTAAAGCTTCCTTGGCCCACCCACCCCCATACAAACCGCATCGTGAGTAATCTCGATGATCGAATGAGTGAACAAACAAACATGTGATCGTGGTGAACCCGATTTCCGGTCTCACGATTAAATGGTTGATAGTAATGTGTGTTTTTATTTTATTTTATTTTCCCATAACAATTTTATCCACAAGTAGTGATATATATTGAGATGTATTGGCATGAATACAAATCTCTGAAAACGAGTTTTTTCGCCACTCTATTGTTTTGTTTTAACTGTGGTATGTGGCTCTTCTTTGGATAAGTTATCAATCAAAATAGTGATCTTGCGGCCAAGCAATTGAAAATTAGATTTCATTCCATAAGAAATGTTACGAGGTTAGTCGGATCACTGGGATAGGAAGAGAATCTCTGTATCCTGACAAAATGAGTGCTCAGTGCTGCTTGTCAGCCAATTTAAGTGGATTTGTCGTTCCCGGTGGAAACCTGGTCCCACAAATTCAACACAAAACCAAAGCTTACGATCAGGACAGTCAAACATATTTTTATGCATTACTATTACCAATTTCGACAGTTATGGGAGGACAGAAACCTAGTGCTTAAAATGCCATTGTAATGAATGCATTTGACTGTGTGCAAGATTCCGAACTTTTATCGCATTACGCCAGAAGCATTAAAGAAATGCAAGATTCATGAAATAAACACGATCAACCCGAAATTTGGACGGATAAAGTGATGAATAGAATGTGACATATTCACACCAACTTATGTATTTGCATAGTTAACTACCAGTGAAATGGATTGTACTTCGCTGGACGTATTATTTTGAGCTATCCAACCTTACTTTTTCGCTCTCTGTTTCTCAAATACCCACATTCATTCACATAAGATACCCCGTGTTGATAGGACAAATCCAGTTCTGTTTATCCCTAATAATAAGAACACGCCATTCAAGGAAGAGTAGAAACGTTCATGAGCACGAAGCGCATAATTATCTCTTCAATCTGGGAACTCGGTTTTGCAACGGGTTACGAAAATCACTTGCATAAACTTTATCTCTGGGCTTAACTGATCTATGGATCTGTCCTCAAACTGCGTAAGAGGTTCAGTAAGATTTTGAGTGGAAGAACTGAAAGCATCCAGATCTACCCCCATCGTAGAACTAAAAACAGTTCAGCTGGTAATTGATGCTCGAGGATAGCTAGGTTAGGAATAGAAGAGTAAGAAAAACGCATGGGCTGATCGTTCTTCATTACTCCTCCCAAATGACATTGAGCTTTAGCAATGAAATTGATTATGTGAGTGCCAATGATGCACTGGAAAATGAACTTGGTGAGTGTCATTTGACGCAAAGAACTCTGAAAACTGAGTCTGGTGAAAATCAAGTCACATTAGGCAATAGATGCAGAGAACGGTCAGCAATCAAGCGGTCCAACATGCTGACACTGGCTCGCTTTGGACTCTGTCATATATTCTAACTTCGCTGGTGAGCAACTTCACTGTCACTCGTACCAACAATACCTCATTTAACCCTCAGGACCAAAAGCAATTGGCCACCTCAGGTCCCAGTGTTCAGGTTACCTACATCAACAACCGAAAAATTGTGTAATATGACTATGCGATTCACACCGTCAACTGAACATGATGTGTGTGAGCGATTTACTGAGCACGCATTTGAACTTCTGAAGGCCCTGTAACAGCCGGAACCGAACTAGTGTGTACTGTTCAGACCAAGGAAAAACGAACCGTTTGAGGCTTTGTGTAGATGCACGTGAGAAATGCTTTCCCGGTGAGTTGAAATCGCCTTGACTTCAAAATGCTCATGCTTCTGCAGCCAAGTGTGATACAGAAGTAAAACAGAACAAGCTTATCACTGTGCTCAGTGCTGAACACTCATCCTCCCGATGTGAATAAATAAACCATTGCCTTGATAAGTTTCTCACTAACATGATCATCTTGGTACTACCTATGACACACACAGACAGAAATCGGTACGCAAGATGGGGATTTGGCTCACATGTGAATTTTGTTCATTTTATTCCGTTAACTCTCTTCCTCCCAAAGGTGATCTCCAATGTCCTCGGGCTATAAAGGTCACAGATAGATTGTTACCCTGTTAATGGTTTAGATGGTGGTGGCAATGAAGTGAGAAAAGACGAGGGAGGGAAGAAGGCAGGAACTGAGATGAGATCAGGTTGAATGAACTGAGTGAGACAGGCGAAAGAACTACAAAAACGAAGGAAAGAAAGACAGGCAAGTCATTGCGTTGGGCACACACACACACGCACACTCTCACACGAAACAGAGACAGAGAGAGAGAGCTAAATGAAACTCGGTGTATCAATTCATGTCATAGGTCAGGATTTCCTTCACCATTAAGAACATCTTTCTCATCTCGCTAGCTAGCGGACTAATGCGGTCATTTTCAAAAGTCGTATATCCGTTTGTACATTTGCGTGTGTGTGTATGTGTGATTTATTGTGTACTCATTCCACTGTGCTCGATCAGCCATGTGTTATCTACTCTATAGATGTTTCTAAGGTCAAACCCTCAAATTGACGACAACAACAACCGCAGATGCCGAATGTGGTTGAAGGAGACTGCAAAGATCGATGAGATGGCATTTTTCATTACACTAAGGTGAGGTGGTGTTCCCGAAGGGCGATGGTTGGCCTCGTGTCCTTAAGTCACCACTTTTTTGTGTGGTTTGTGAGGCTAGTTGGACGGTTGGACGGAGTTTTGTTTGTGTGTGTTTACTAACTTCAATGGTAATTATTTGCTTTTTGTAGTTCCAAAGTGATCTGAATGTTTCCTCTGATTGGAACACATTCACTAATCGGACACGTGAGGTTTGCATTTGAAAGACAAAATATTAGATTTGGACAAACATTTCACTTCATACCGTTGCATTCGTTTCAATATGATTCTACTCAACTCCCTGAGCTTACTGAGGAAAAGTATAAACCACTGTTGGAGGGTAGCAAGCTGGGTATACCCCTGCAGTAATTCTGTGAAACTTTGTGAGTGATTTCAGTAGAGAGAGACCTTTGAAATTGACCGTGTCAT